CTTCTTCTTTTCCTGCTCTTGCTTACTCCCTCCTTCAAGATACGAAAGAATACCTCCAACTCCTTTGGGCGGTGGAGCGACACCCTTTAGTCCATCGTCTGGCGGAGATGGCGCGATTTCAGGAGTTTTTGGCGCCTCGAAGTGTGTCAAGGTTTTCTGTCGTGGTGCAGATCTGGCCACGCCCACTTCCTCCCTGACGACTCCTGATTGGCGGGAAGGCAGGTTGAACACCAGACAAGCGAAGACCACGCAGGTTAATAGCAATGGGACTCTTCTCCAGGGCGCCATTTTTTTGTGATTTTCTTTCTCAGTATGTAGATATATTTGAATAAATGCGTGTTAGGTGTTGGCGTTTTTCTTCAGCTTGTTCTGATGTTTTTGTGTTTTCTTGATGAAACTATACAAGCTTTCCTCCCCGAAAAATTTCAATGTTGCATATGATTTTCTCCTTTTCTCTCCGTTCGAATTACGCACGTAATGTTTTTTGTTAATCCTCCTCAATTTCCTTATTTCTCTTTCACATCGCACCAGTCACTCTTTCCGAACTGCCTTGATATTCATGGTAACTGCCTAGTCTCTGGAAATCCTCTCGTACTTGGCTCTGAACGCTTCAATGCCTCCGCTAGCTGCCATAACTTCCGGTTCAACAGAGTGATTTACGTGCGAGATTGATTACGTTATCATTACTTTCTGCTCAGGTTTTACGAGCGAGATTTCAGGTAAAAAGACGCGGTGAAATAAAAGTGACAGTAGAATGAGATGCGAGACTCCCGTTAATGGGCGAGCACTTGTAACGGTAAACAGTAGGGAAGGGGGGAAGGGGGAGGGGTTATTTTCATACCGTATGTCTCCACTGTAAATGGGCGGTGGTTCGCGTAACTGTTTTCCTTCTTTTTTTCTAGACTTGTTTTTCTAGACTTTGTAGCGATATTTATGTTAAGGATTGAAGGTGTTTAGTCTCTGGGTGCATGGTTGTTTATTAAAGTTAGATTCATGTTTGTTTATATACTTCTGGGTTTACGCATTTATGATACGATTTATGCATGCTATATAGTTACTTTTCGGTACTCGATCACTGACACTATTCTCTTTTAACAGCTGGATGTTTTTTCTCTGCGGGAGAACGAAGCAATTGCACTTTTTTCTACTGAACATTATGATAATAATACTGTTAACACACTCTCGCCGTCCCTTTACATCTCCATTAAGATTAAGAATTATAATCGTTTTTTCATAATCACTTTTTCACGTTTTCTTTCTCGTATTTTGTAGCGCAATCATTATTCGTTGTCACTTATAAACCGCAAAACACAAACTTGTCTGCTTTTAAACCACGGCGATCGCACAGCCTTAAATGCGTTTGAGGGAGATTAAACTACTCCGCCCTCTGATTCAGTCCCCGCTCATCCCTCGGCGCTCGCTGAAAGGAAACTAGCGAGTCTTTCAAGCTTTCCAACCCCCTTCTCCCCCCGCCTCCCCTTCCACTTCCCTCTTCTCCCTTCTCCCCCTTCCCTCCCTACCCGCCTCCCTCGCCTCCTCTCCTTCCCCTCCCCCTTCCCCCCACCACCCCTGCGAAGAGGTTACCAACTAGTCAGGACCGTCAGTTCTGTCAGTGGGCAGTTAATCGACATTCAGTTTATTCCCATTCACGAAAGGTGATGTCAGAACATGTGTGTGTCGCTGAGGTGTTTTAACAGCTGAGGTTATCTGCATGCCAAGAAAATTGAAGATTGTCACGTTAATTATAACTTATCAGTATGTATGTATGTGTGTGTGTGTGTGTGTGTGTGTGTGTGTGTGTGTGTGTGTGTGTGTGTGTGTGTGTGTGTGTGTATAATACACACACACACACACACACACACACACACACACACACACACACACACACACACACACACACACACACACACACACACACACGCACACAAACATTATATACATACATATACTTACATATATATATATATATATATATATATATATATATATATATAGAGAGAGAGAGAGAGAGAGAGAGAGAGAGAGAGGAGAGTAAGACACAAGTGCGTCTCTCTCTCTCTCTCTCTCTCTCTCTCACACACACACACACACACACACACACACACACACACACACACACACACACACACACACACACACACACACACGAGTGTATATGTATGTCTATATCTATTTATCTATCTATCGAATAGGTCTATTAATCGAATGAAGATTTGTTGTTCGCAATATATTTCAATACGAATCTGAATAGAAATACAAATATCTCAAAATCCTCCATAATGTTCACGGCTGTTCAGAGCGGAACCGCCGTTAGCGCAAAGTGGCACATGACCTGAGGCGGAAAACTTTTTTTTTCCAATCTGAAGAACTCTTGAGTCTTGTAGTGCTTTCAGGGAATGGAAGTGCTGCGGCCTTGGAGGTGAATCAATCCTTCTTGACCTGACTTTTAACTTCCTGAACTGAAACTTTCTGTGGATGGAGCCAGTGGTTACTAACATCT